ATGACAATGTGGAAAGGCTAGTACAGATGGCTGTTCCATTATTCATTTTTGCAGCCACCCTTTGCCGCTTTGTTGGAGATAGAGACTGGCTTCCAGAAAAGCGTCTTGCAGCCGTTCTCCAAGATGAAACAGCAACAGCAACATCTGACATGGATAGAACATATATACCGGTATTGAATCAGCTCCTTGCTTCTAAGAATAAAAGAGATTCCAGGCAACTCTTGCAAGAGTTTCAAAATATTATCGGAGTGATTATTCTTCTCGCTACTCCTCTTTCAGTGGTGGCTCTTGGGCAGCTGACTTCGATATCGACGGATGATATCAGCAATCGATTAAATAGATTTCACGCAGTCTTGAATGTACCGGAGGATCTCGAAGCACCGGTCCGCATTTTACATCTATCGTTTCGAGATTTCTTGGTTAGCACAGAAGGTAAATTTCATGTTGACGAGAAAGAGACGCATAGAAAAATAGCATCACATTGCCTCCGGGTTATGGAAACTCGACTTGAACATAATATTTGTGGCCTAGCAAGTTACGGAACTCAGCACAAGGATATCGACCCTCAGGTTATCAATCAGCATCTCACAGCTGAACTTCAATACAGCTGCCGCTATTGGGTATATCATCTAAAGCAAAGCCAAGGTCGTATATCCGAGTCTGAAATTCTTTCCTTTCTAAGGAAGCGTTTCCTTCACTGGTTAGAGGCACTGGCTTTGATCGGAAGTATATCCGAAACAATGGAAATGATAGATATACTGAAATCAAGTATATGGGTAAGTTTTTTTCAAGTTCTATCTATAGTTAAATATTGGCTAATATATATTATAGACAAGCATTGGTACTGAAACTTCAGACTTTCTCTATGATGCAAAAAGATTTGCGCTTCAAAATACTTATATAGGTGGTATTGCTCCACTTCAACTCTACAGCTCCGGACTGGTCTTCGCACCTGCCCAAAGTATTGTGAAAAAGACTTTTTCTAGCGAAGTAGTAAGACAAATAAAAAATCTACCGGTTTTAGAGAATTCTTGGAACCCAATCTTACAGACGCTTGAGGGCCATTCAGATTCGGTCTTTTCAGTGGCCTTCTCGCCCGATGGGCATACTCTGGCATCAGGCTCGCGTGACGATACTATCAAGCTCTGGGATACAACAACGGGCACAGAGCGCCAGACCCTCAAGGGCCATTCAAATTCAATCTTTTCAGTGGCCTTCTCGCCCGAT